GTAGCTACTTGAATAAAGAAATATTATAGAGAAGCTTTCGATATGATAGACCCTAAAATTCTGCTCTTAAGCTGTCTTACTATGGTTTTACTGATGCTGCAGTCAATTTGATAAGCTGGTATTTGTCAAATAGAAATCAAAAGTCATCTTCGAAAATGTCACAGTCAACTGCTATAAGTTTTGGTGTTCCTCAAGGTTACTTTTCTCTCTATATATATCGGATTTCCATCGATATGTCCATAATTGCACAATCCATCACTATGCTGATGATACTCAAATTTATTTTAGTTTCCAACACAAAGATTTTAAAATTGCAGAAGCATTGCTCAACGAAGACTTAACAAGGCTAGTAGACATCTCATGCTCGCATAACCTAAAAATTAATCCATCTAAATCTTCAGTTATGGTTTTCGGCTCAAAAAACAAAAGAACATTGATCGAAACGGAAATTAACCTTAAAATCTATGATTGCCGGCTTCCTATAATGAATGAGTGTAAAAACCTGGGACTCTGGATTAACACAGAACTAAAATACACAAAACACGTAAATTCGTTATGTAGTGCATCATACTGCATTTTGAAACAGTTTTATCCACATAGGCAAATAATATCTACTCCAGTAAAGCTGAAACTGTGTGAAACATTAATTATATCAAAGATCAGGTATTGTGACAGTATACTCGTATATGGCGCAGCTCTATCATATAGTGAACAAAGCAAATTACAGCGTATCCAGAATTCGTGCATCAGATTTTCTTGCGGAATACGGAAGTTTGATCATATTTCTCATAAATTTAAGGAACTTGGTATTCTGCAGATTAAAGGCATGCAAAAGCTTCACTTATTGACACTCACACATAAGGTCTTAGCTACCAAACAACCACAATATTTGCATAATAAGTTAACACGATGTAGTGACATAAATCAACTGAATACAAGGAATAGGAATATGTTAGTGATACCTCTTACATTCTAAGGCTATCTACAAAACATCATTCAGCTACAATGCTATTAAATTATATAATGATCTGCCTGTTACATTCCAAAACTATACGTTATTTAATTTTAAAAAGAGACTTAAACTAAAACTACAAGTCGAGGTCTGATGATGAGTACAAAATGCTAGAAATATGGACTATCCTTGTAATTGTTCTGTGTTGTTAATTATTTAGTAATTATTGAGAATTATGGATACATTTTTGTTGGTGGAATGTTTTATTATATATATATATATATATATATTTTTCTTAAGGTTAAGGTTAAGTTGAAAAACGCTAAATCTTAGCGACACTTCGCCTTTTTTGTACTTTTACTTAGGTACGAAATAAAGCCCATTTATTATTATTATTATTATTATTATTATTATTATTATTATTATTATTATAGAAGCTCGGAAGTAATCTTACCGTTGATATATTTTGGATGAATAAATGCCTCCATTCATGACCGTTCCAAATAGCTTGAATCGCGCTGCTAGAGATATGACCGTTTCTTATTTTACAAAAAATCTTATTTCGGCTCAAAATTGAGTTGTGCAGTGAATTGAAGTATTGAAACTGATACAACTCCCGGTTAGGTATATGAAAGAAAGGTCCTAAAATGTTCAGTAACCCTTTGGCACAACTGTGCCTAGTTTCACAAAAAAAATCAAGTGGGGTCAGATCGGAGGATATGGCAAGCCAGTGGATATTACCATTGAGAGGGAAACGTGTCTGCGAGAATTCCAAAGAGTTCTCTAGCCATAAGACATGGAGCGCTATCCTGCTATTAAAAAACATATCCAGATTTCTGGACTAGCGCTAAATTAAAGTACCTATCGGGCTCCCTTTCATTTAATAAAAATGTTCGCTACTAACTGCACATTGCACAACGAACATGCCTTCCAAGCAGCTACGAATCTAAAAACTGTAAGAGAACTCCATTAGTACTCTTCAGACCTATGATTGTTTATAGATGATTACTGGACTAGGATCGTCTAATATAGACGTACCTTTTCCTAGATTATTTTGTTTCCTCACTCACTGGATTTCGCTGCCGTTTGTGGGGAAGAAATAAGTGCCCTAGTCAAGAAATGTTTCTACGTAGGTGTATCAAATTTCCCGGAATTGCTCTGTAACTTACCAACAGATTGCAGCTCGAGGCTTTACCTGCTGTACAAGTATTGTGCGAAGTTTTACAAGAATCTTATTTATTGCTTTAATGCTCGTTTGATTTCCAATGTCGGTGATTCCACCATGAACAAAAACTTTGTACAAAGAGAGAAAATTAAATTTTGCGTGAAACTTGGAAATCAACTACAGAAACACTAAATATGCTTCGGTAGGTTTATAGTGATAAAAGTGATGTGTCGCTCTCAAATTTTTTAATGATGGGATTTCTCAAAGTTTTAGGATACGAAGCTTTTAACCAAAAAATTAAACTATGCCATACAGATATTGGAGAACGGCTCATCGCTTCATCATCGTAAGCCGAATGGCTAGGCGATTTTACAAGTTTAACGTTCTCCCCTTGTTTAAACTTTTGGTTAACAATGAACTCGCTCAGCGAGCACAAAAACGCTAAGTAAAATTCTTGTAAAATAAAACCCACGAGAAAAACCGTGAGCACTACTTTGTGAGGTAATCAGCTGATTCATATAACACGCAAAACCTCAAGCTGTCATCTGTTGGTAAGATACAGAGCTATTCCGGCAACACCTTGGTTTTTTACAATTTAAAACCGACCAAATGGATGAGAAATGAGCTTTTACCATATTCCGTACGACAGTTACATAATATCGCAGACCAAATGGAGACCTCTTGGCTAAACCTCACACACTCCTGTAGCAGGTTTATTCAGTCATTTGGAGATCCCGACAAACACACGTGGTTAAATTCGATGCTAACAACACTTTCGACCATGAATGGCATCTGCATGCCGTTCTTCTCCAAAAAACATTCACTATACGGCCTCCTGGCAAGGCTTTGTAGGTGGGAAGCAGTAGTAAACTTATGGTCGTAGGATATCGTAATGACATTTCTTCTTCGTCACTCAACATCACCGTGTGTAATTAAGAAAATTAAACTTTACCTAAAGCGTTGAGTACATAATTATAAATAGGATTACAGTTACATAGAATGGATTATGATACCACAGAGCAAATGGAGACCTCCTGGCTAAACCTAACACACTTGTGTAGCAGGTTCATCCGGTCATTTGGGATCCCGACAAAGACACGTGCTTAATTTCGATGTTTACAACTCTTTCGACAATCCGCGGCATCTGCATGCCGTTCTTCCAAAGCAAACTTTCACTCTACGGCCTCCTGGAAAGGCTTTGCAGGTGGGAAGCAGTAGCAATATTATGGTCGTAAGATATGTAATATATTTAATCGTATTTCTTCTTCATCACTCAACATCACTGTGTGTAATTAAGAAAATTAAATATTACCTAAAGCGGTGATTACATACAAATATGGCTACATACAAAATTTGGCATCCTTGCCTATTATATATTTTGAGCCAGATGATGACAGTAGTCTCGATTCCCATGATATGTGAAAAGCAGTATAGTAAAGACAAATATACATTTATAAGCAGAGACAATCCAGACTGATTGTTGAGTATCATAAACAAACTGTTGTGTATATGAATGATAGAAATAATAATACATGAGAGGATTGCTTTATTTTGCAAGCATTGTAAGGAGGACCAATTATTTAACTTCTTTTCAATCTTCACTTCTTCACCGAAGATCGTACAGCACTTTCCTCAAAGAATAAGCTTAATAACAAGATCGTTATTAAAATAAATATCATATAACCTCATTTGAATATAATTTCACTTAAAGCTATTTGTAAAGACCTTCACAAACTCTTTCAGAGGTTTCGTAAATTAATACCTCGCAATTACGAGTATTTGTTCAATAATTATATGCAAGAATGCACGCACTGTAAAGCGAAAGAAATCTTGGATTGCGAGTACTGTAACTATACTACACATTGCAACTGAATAGCACAAAAGTAACAGTACAATTAAAAATCACATCATACATAAAAGATACAACAGGTTAAGCTCAGTATGGGATATGTTGAGCAATAGTAATGGTGCATTCTTAACTACTGCAAATAGTTTAGTGATACTAGCATTGGAGATTTTAATCCGTGTTACAAGAAACGTATTTCGGTAGTTTGATATGGATATATGTATCATGAATAGATACAAAAGATATTTTTGTTGCATGGAATTTGATTTTAGAATTTTGTATGCTTATGTAGAGTTTCTGAACTACTACAAGCAACACTTGTTTACAAAGGGAATTTTCTGTTATTTTTTTATTTTAGCTGACTTTTTTGTCATTGAGCTTTTGAAAAACAATGAATAGTTCAATTTTTACGTTATAAAGAACAAGTAATGTGATAGAGATGCTTAAAATGCTTAAAAGCCTTGTTAAAGTATGTGGAAAAGCAAATAGATTGTTTTTGTCAAGGTAAGACAAAACATCTTTATAGGCTGAATTCTGCTACTGCCAGGATGCGATGCGTGGATTTAATATAATAAAACATTGTTCTACAAAATTTCCTGGCTATCAAAGCGATGCATGCAACAGGAAATTGCAACATCGCATCATCTCACTCAAAAAGGGCACAAATATTTTTGAAAAACACGAAAGCTAATTTTTCACATACCGCGTATTTATGGATATCCTATATTTTATATATTCAGTGACTTCGGGTAATTACTCCAGAATTATTTATCAATCTTCCAACTATCAGAATTTCTGTGCGGAATTGATTAAAGTCTTTATAATTTGCTAGTGGGTGATTAGTGTACTTTAGGGATAGCGCACGAGATTTTCCTGCACTTTCCAGGTTTTCTATAAGTATTTTTGACTATTCCTAATTATAAAAAATAGTTTTCACTGCGTTGCGTTCGTTCCGAGAGTGGACAAAAATCGCATATTTTTAACATTGCCCTTTGTCTATTCGCAAATGATATCGAATTAAAATGTTGGTAACTTACCAAAACAATAAATATCCGGCCTAATCCAAGGAAACTCACTAAAAAGCACACATGAACCAATTTCAATCAATATAAAAAATAATGTTTTATCGCACGCACCGAAGTATAAAGCCCGTGATACGGAAAGTCGAATTCGAAAAACGGAATCTGGGGCTGTAGCGATCGTCGAGGTTACCGCTTTGGTACACGCTCTGGTAATGGTATAATGGTACGGCAGCCGGCATCCTGGGCCCTCGGGGCTACGCCCCATGAGCGTAGGCGGGGGGCAGTACGCGGTACCGCCAAAGTTATTAGTACCACTCAGTCATGTTTCCAAGAACTTCAAAAAATATTTGTTTCCTGAATGCACTAACTGACTTGCAAGTATCTGGAAAATACCTGCATTTTTATTTATTTATTCAAATTAACATACATGCCATGTAAACATACAATTTAAAAGAAAATAACAATAAATATTAAACACATATAATTCTAAAAACCGGTAAATACTATTGACAACAAAACAATAAAAGTATATACCACAGATACTCTAGATTAAAATCTGCAGAAAAATACTCTCCCATAGTACTTCTTTTCTTATCAACATTTGTTTTACAGTTTTTTTAAATATGATAAGATGTATGTTTTTAATATTATAAGGCATTTTATTGAATACTTAGATGCCTGTTAATTTTGGACTACGCTTTGTGGTAGACAATCTGTATGAGGATGTTTGCTATACTTGATGAGGCTGAAATACATAAATTTCCAGCAAGACGGCGCTCCTCCTCACTATGTTCTTCTGGTTTGGCAATGTCTAGACGACGCGTTTCCAGATAAATGGATAGGGCTAAGAGGGCCCATAGAATGGCTTGCTAGATTTCCTGATTTGAAGCGATTAGACTTTTTTCTATAGGGCCATTTGAAATCTATTTTGTTTACTCCCCTACCTGAATGTCTGGATGAACATCTTTGAAAATGTAAGTCAAAAATTTGAACATCGCCCATATTATTGTTTGGTCAATAACGGGCAACATTTTGAACACTTATTGAAATAAAAAGTGATACTTCCGTGTGTTTTGGTTTTCAATCTGAACAATTTAAGATTTTTTTAATTTTCTCAAAAACCAATCGACTGATTTTAAACAATCAAGCGTCAAAATAAAGTACTAAGAAAGACCTTTCAAACAAGCTATTACTCGATACCCCTTGTTATTTAAAATTTTTAAGGGAATGACCCTGGGGGGCCGGGGGTGAAAGGAGATGAAGTAGTTTTTGATTAAAAAGTTGTCCCCCTTGACAAATCTTTTGGCGTGTCTCGACGTTTTTCCCCTTAATCAGTGGTTTTCGATAAATCCATGTTTTCAAATGAATACCCTGTATAGTAAATACAGAAACAGCTGTGACAAATTCTCATAGATGTCACTATCGCATCATATTTTGTGTCAGATATTTTTTTGCTCGCTAGAATATATCATTTGGTTGGATATCTTTAGCTGGAATACGTTAGTCAATGATAAAGGTCACTAGAATTTCAGATAGGGGTCTTAATAATAATATAATTTATGAATAAATGTTAAAAAACCATTAAAAAGGACTAGTAAGCTCACTATCACTCGTTACCCTTTTTAAAATACACGGCGTCGCCCACTATGGTTATCCCTTCTTCCAGTCAGTAGTCTGCTACCTATACAGATGGCTCGTCGGAAATGACGGTGAAAGCAGTTTTGATAGATCGTAAGTATTGCATACACGTTTTCGTGTTTTTCATATGTATATGATGGTAATTGCCTTTTGAGGATATGTAATTTGTAGCTGACCACTGTTATTTTGAGCCGCTCTGGTGAAATTTTTAGAAGGACAAGTATTGTGGTTCACCTACACCACCCGGGAAGTAATCAGAGTAACTTTGAACTTGATTTTTGAATCATGCTTAGGTGTTTTTGACTTTGCAATTTGTAGCTCACCACTGTTATTTTGGACAGCTGAGGTCAAATGTTTAGAAGGCAAACATTTTTTCTCGAGTGAGAAGTGATCAAAGTTATTTTGTACCTGCTTTTTCAATAATTATTGCTAACGACAATGCAATTTGTAACCTGCCACTCTTATTTCGGACCTCTCTCATGTAATTTTAAAGACAAGTTTTTTGGATCACTGATACCACTTGGAAAGTAATCAAAAGAATTTTGCACCGAATTTTTGAATTATTGTTCAGGTGCTTTTGACAATGTAATTCTTAGATAACCACTGTTATTTTGGGCAGCTCAGGTGAAACCTTCTGACCGACACGTTTTTTGGTTCACTGATACCACCCGGGAAGTAATAAAAGTAGTTTTGAACTTCATTTTGTTTTTGACAAATAAAATCTCTTGTTTGAAGTGATCAGGATGTTAAATATGCCCAAGATGTTCAAAAAGCATGCATAATTTAAACCTGTTACTTAGTAGTACGGATGTACAAAAATGTTACATTTTAGATATTTTCAATATGGACCAACAAAAATAGTCGAATGAGAACATAAATTGCCTTCCTTTTATGTGCTCAAAACAATAAAAATTTTGATAATTGGTATCATGGATCGGAAATTGTTTTTTGAAACACAATTAGAATTCCTTCTCTTTCGGCTAATGCTTCAAAAATTGACACGTTGCGAAAATCCAACACATGCAAGAAAGGGGGTGACAGGGGGGCTCACTTCTGGTCAGAAAAACCACATACTATATGTCCTTGTCCGACTGTGCATGGTTTTAAAGTTATCGCTGTGTTTAAGAATTTGTTTAAAATCGCTTCTCTTAAGATTGTAGTATTTCTTAATGAAGTCATCTCTTGTTATTTGTCTATCACTTTTTCAGGCTATATTACCAGATGCTGCATTCTTCTATAAAAGCCTTCAGTGAAAATTTAGTTCAATTAATATTACAAAACGTGATAATTGCGGTCATAGGATCAGGTATTGCGGCACTCATACGTTACACTTTTTGTACTGTTTGGTAGAACCACCATAGAGGAACACTAATTTTATTGTAACTAATCAAAAACACAAGATTTATTATCACATCGGACTATCGAAAGCAAGACTCAAATTAAATAGAAAATTCAATTATTATTTTTTAGATTGTCATTTTGTTAATGATTCACTTAAAGATAGGTATATAAGAGCACACTAAATGACCTCTTTGGCTACGCATTCTATTATCGCAAATTTTCAAAACCATTTCGGATGAATTGTGGCAGAGTTTCGTTAAGGCAACATTGGATTTTCTTATTCAATGCATGAGTGTTAGTGGATTGTTGGCATAGACTTTTTGACTTAAAGCAGCATCATAAAACGGAGTTGTTATATTGGGAGATTCTGCCCTAAATTTGTGGGATTTTCACTTGGGGAATTTTTGGGGGATATAATATTCTGGTGGCTTTTTTGGAGGAAATCACACGTTTCGTGGATAGAAAGCATCACCCCGCTCTCCGAACCAAACCTACCTCTTCCCATTAATGGACTACGATTTGGTGGAGTTTTTAAAACTAGTAGTTCTGAGGAATTTTTGTGAGAATTCTGTCCGACCCCATAAAATGACATGACCTTCGAGGTCAATACTGATCGCCGATATGAAAGAGTATCGGGCTAGGAAATGTCTCATGAGGCAAATGCCTTTTTTTCGGGCTGTATGGCGTGTAGCACCGTCTTGTTGAATACGCACGTTATCCACATCAGTATTATCCAATCCAGTCAGAATGAAGTCCACAGACACTCGCGCGTTAAAAAAGAAAACGCAACGTATTAACGAAATTTATCCTTCAGCCATATCTATGCAAAGTGCGTGCATTTCATAGTTCAATAAGCAAATAATGTAAAGGAGCGAATAGGCACATAATTCAAATCGTGCTTGATATTTGGGACACCCTTTACATAGGCAAACATACCTTGTCTGAAATTTCTTTCGCAATTTATTTCCGGCAGTCTGCAAAAGGGTGATTGAAGCCCTGTGCAAGCAGAAAAATCCATCGGATAGATTAAAATTACAGGAAAAATAACCCCATGATCAATAATGTCGGTGCATTTCGCGCAAGGTGGTGTAATCCTAGTCTGGGTGGATATGGTGCGTCCGTCCCCTTCGCTAGAATTTGTGCCACGTGCTACTTGGCCATCTGCCGTTTTACACGGTTCTACAAGCGGATGCCAGATGTGCCTGTACTGGAGGGAAGCGAACTCTCTGGATAGTCGACAGGGAGCAATGGTCAGTGGCGTGCCTGAAACGTTACCTTCAAATACAGAGTCGTATATACGGTACAAAATACTTAACATGTTCTGAACAAAATTGCCAAGCTTTAGTGACGGACTAGAGGCTTCATATCGGAAGAGTCCAGAAAAGTAGGGCCCTTGGTCCAAAAAATCAATTCCAGCTACGGATCTAGAAACTATTTATATTTTTTCTTGATTTGCGTTTAAACATCGATGTGTGACAAAATTTGTGTATGGGTTTTGAAACTCGTGAATGGCTCCAAATATTTTAAACCTGTTGTTAAAGTTTTCATAGTCAATTCGTCTTACAGGGGAAGATACACAGTGCTTTACAAAAAGACCCCTACTTATTTTTCGAACGAGTCTAGTCAGCAAGCTTAAATTCGGGGCAACATAATTAATACATAAATATTATATTTTAGTGCAAAGGAGGCAATTGAACATTGGAAGATGTCAATTAAGCGCTATTTTGGAACTTTTTTCAAATGGAATTGAGGGTCGTGTGATAACTCATTTTAAAGCTCTCTAAGAATACTTTATCTCTGGAATATAAAATCACTATCTTTCAAATTGACAAACTGGCAGGCTATCAAATTTGAGCGTCCTTATATATTGAGTCGCTTATAACTCAACAACCAATCTTATATAGTATATCAGTAACAAGACCCTACATTCCGTTTAAAAAAAATGGCGTCACATAGGCTGACTCATTTTCCACGCAACCGCTTTATCAGTACATAAAGGAATATGTTCAACACAAAATAGACCCTCTGAGGAAAAAGTCAGTCAAACAGGTCCATACAATTAGTTTATAGACGTTCTTTCCCTGCCCTACCGGTAGCAGTGAATCAGAAAATGTCGCCTCTCCCCGATACCTAACTCGAGCAGACGTGGCACCGAAGTAGAGCGGTGAGAGCATAGAAAACACTATGCAGTTGCGCAGCAGAAATACCTGTGATTTCCTATCAGAAGAA